ATCTTAAAGGATGGACAGGAGAGATTTAGCAGGCCACAGGTAGGATAGACCATGCTAGGCATGTAGTAAATGCCTAAATGTATCAGTAACAGTGCATTGTCAGAGCCTCATGAAAATGAATCAAGGAATACAAGGCAGGATGAAGAATGGAGAGTAATAAACCTTCGCCAATGGTCATTGGTGTGCCAAGGATGGCTAAGCTTTTTTTCCTGGAGGGTTCAGAGGATGATTCAAGGAGATTTGTTTTGGTAATAAGGGTAGAGTAAAATTGACAGGTGGAAGAGGGAAATGGAGTCATTTTTGTTGAGAAAACTTTGCAAAAGGCAGATAAGAATGAAAGTACATAGCCACCTTTTTCTTCTATTTATATTCTGACCCTAGAGATCTCTTCTAGTCCTGAGGCATCAAATGCCATTTTAAGTAGATATTTCCTTAATTTATACCTCCAGCCCTGAATCGACCCTTGAGCCACCCATCTGTACCTCCACACGTTTATTTGGGATCTCCACTTCAAGGTCTTGCAGTCACGTCAACTGTTTAATGTTCAATACTGAGCTCCTGATGGTCTTTCTTTCCCAGACCTGTTATTATTCCAGTATTCCATCTCAGTTATTGGTACCATCATTCAACCAGGTGCTCTAGCAAAAAGCTAGGAATCATCCTTGATTCCTTTTTTCTTCAGCTTTAATATTCATTTCCTCAGTGAGCACTCTGGTCCCACTCAAAAACCATCTCAGATATAAACATTTCATTTCCTGGTCCAAGTGATCATTTTTACCTTATTCTTCTATCTCATCCCTTGTTTATCCTTTGCTTCTCTACTGTCTTATTTTTAACTCAATATCGGGAGCTATCTTTTAAAAATCTCAGTCAGATCACGTCACACCTTGCTTTAAACTTATCTATAGCTTTTCTTTGTTTCTAGACCTAACTCCTTGCCAAATCATCTAGCTCTCAGCTAGCTTCTCAATCTCACCTCCACTCTTAACTCAACCACATGCTCCATCCAGCCACACTGGCTTCTTCCCAGTCCTGAAAATGCACAAGGTCTTTCCCACTCAATGCTATTGGACCTAGAGCTCCCGCTTCCTGTGGTGATCACCCTCCATTTCTTCCCATAATTGTCTCACTCTCATCTTTTAAATTTTGATTCAAATGTCATTACAAAAATATGCCTTCTAGTAAAAATTCTACCCAATTTTTTTTAAATCATTGCTATAATTATTTCCTTCTTAGAATGTATGATGTAATATTCTGTTCATTCATTTACATATTTATTCTCTTTGTCTCTCTCTTTCTAGAAAGTCCCAGCAATGAGGCAGAGAACTTATTTCTCCTTTGAGCATCATATCCCAAATATTCAACACAATATCTGGCTTAAAGCATATGTTCAGTAAATATTTGTTGAACAAATGAATGCCAGAGTCAGTAGTGTCTTAATACTACATAGATAAGGGTTGACAGAATCAAATACACAAAGAAATTATGTAAAATAAGGATTGAAAAGGATCATTTTGTTCACTCACTTGGAAGTCAGTGATAAGAGTAGTGAATTTTGAGGGAAGGCAGAGATAGGAATATTACAGATGAGGAATAAAACAGGAGATGAGAATTGAAGAACAGTAAGTAAGATGCTTGACTGAAGAAGAGAACAATGAAGGATGAGGTGCTACAGTCTCAGGGGTCTAAAGAAAGTCCTTTTAAATTTTTGTAAATGGGTGAGATTTGTACATATTTCCATGTGAGGAGAAGGAAGCAGCACAGACCAAGAAGTTGAAGGTATAAGGGAGAGAGGGGTAAATGATGGAGTAAGTTTATGGGGAAGATGGAATTAGGGAATAGGATCTGGAGCCCAAGAGGGATTTATTGTCCCTTTGTACAGACACCTCTTTTTCTAAAAGGCAGGCATCAAGGAAGGTACCATTTATAGTCTCCATTTCCCCTGATAAAAGTGAAGAAGAGGAGGCAGATATTCAGCTTAACATAGTGAACGGGTTTGGAATATGTCCATGAGAACACAAGAGGTATTAACCAGGAATTCATAAAAGGAACGCTGATTATCAATGAATATTCAGTTGAAACCATAAATTTGGTATAATTTTCTAGAGTTGTGTAATTCATTCATCAATCAAATGTTTATTAGGTATATATCATGTTCTAAACCCTGTAGTTAATGTTGGAAGTGCCAAGATAGATAAATCACATTTTCTGAAGTGCAGTGGGAGAGAGAAACAAATATACTAATTAGCAAGGCCTTGAGAAGAGGGCTATAATGGAGGAATAAAATTATATGATCAGAAAACTGAGGATGATAGCAAAGGAATGGGTAGGTCCTGATCATAGAATCAATGGCTATAATTGAAGATTTCAGAATTGAAACTGAAATGTGTTTGATGATAATAGAATCCTGGAGGAAGTCGTGACTCCTGGAATAGAGGAAGTTATGGAACTGTGAGATTAGTAGGTTGGAAGGGCATTCAGGCAGATGCTGAAGTTGTCTAGGGAAGTAAAAGGGGTTGTTTTGGACAAATTCTGTGTGGCTGTGACCCTCATATCTGAATTCTTCATGAATATTTGAAAATGACCTTTAGTGTAAAAGTAGCAGTTAACGAGGAAAATGCTCGAACCATTCCTCAGCCTCCTGGCATGTGGGGCACCAGAGGATAAGCATCCTTCGCTCAAAAGAATTCCAGTCAAAATAATCATGTAGTGGTCTGAAGTTTGAAGATGTAGAGGATTTTATGTGTGATGACACAGGGCTTTCAGAGAGCCCAGTAGAAAGCACTGAGAAAGAATAAATTGGGCTCACATAAGAGAGGGAGGGAGGGAGGGAGAGAGGGAGATGGAGAGGGAGAGAGAGATTGAGAAGGAGAGGTGGTGAGAGAGAGATAGAGGAAGAGAGAGAAGGGAGGAAAGGGAGAGTTGGAGGGAGGGAGGGAGAAAGAGAGGAGGGGAGAGAGAGAGAGAGAGAAAGAGGACAGAGAGAGAGAGAGAGAGAGAGAGAGACTCACACTGTAGCAATGTCTGAGCATACTAGAGAGTTGGGCATGGAAACTATTGATCCTGAGATACCAAGCCTCTGGTGTGACATATTTATATGACCTTCAGAGGATACTGCACCAAATGGTATCTGTCTTCTGAGGACACCAGCAACCTGGTTGTCCAGGTTGGACCTAAAGGGTTTGTCCACTTGTAGACAAGGGATTGTCGACAAAAGGACCACTGACTTCCCTCCAAGGCCAACACTGAGAGTAAGCAAAAATTGTTGGTCATTTAGAGCCTAGAGGCAAATGCTCTTTAATCCAATATCTGTTCTTTTTTAAAATTTAGTTTTGAAGTAGCTTTACTTTCTCTGATTATGAAAGAAATACATATTCATTGCAAAACATAAAGTAACACAAAGATTACACAAACTGTAAAATAAACACCATTTAAACCCCAGAGGGAGATGATATAATCATTGTTAACATTTCCATATCTGACACTGATAGAATGCCCCGGCATTTATCAGTCAGGACTCTGAAACACACCTTATCAGTCAGTGTTTTCTTTCTCTGCCTCCCCTACCCTCTCTTTGCTATCTTTCTAGCTTCATCTCTGTTCTTCCCAAATTCAAATCTCAGTTATCTACGGAGTGAAATCATGGTACCTTGACCTCACCCAGTTACTTGTTATGCTTTGAGCAGATGTTTCCATTGTGACTGCGGGTGTGGCGGCCCTGTGGCAGAGCTGCTATGACTGTGGCCGTGTTGCTTGGGAGGCTTCCTTTGTTCTCCCAGTGGTCAGAGACCATGTTGCTAAGGCAAGTCTGGAAACCACTTAGCTTTTCATATTCACTTCTCAAAAGAGACAATGCCACGTTGGGGGTGAAGCTAACATGTCCTCCACAACAGACCTTCTGCTGGCAGTCACTCATTATCATTCACCACTGAAGTACTCTACTTTTCACCAACAAGATCCAGTCTCTTGAGTTGCACACAACATGGCAAGCCAAGTGGTTGAAGGGGCCTCTGTCAAATACACATTAACTTCAATTGTCCCATCACCAGGGGAACCTTGAATGATGGTTTCATCCTCCTGAAAATAGCATACGTAGGGGCTCCTGGGTGGCTCAGTCGGTTAAGCATCCGACTTCAGCTCAGGTCAGGATCTCACGGTTCATCAGTTCGAGCCCTGCCTCAGGCTCTGTGCTGACAGCTCAGAGCCTGGAGTCTGTTTCAGATTCTGTGTCTCCCTCTCTCTTTCTGCCCCTACCCCACTCATGCTCTCTCTCTCTTTCTCAACAATAAATAAACATTAAAAAAAAAGAGAAGAGCATATGTATACTTCCAGTTTTCTCAGGCTGTCTCCATTTCCAGAGAAGGGAAATAAAACAGGCCTAGTAAGAACAATGCTTTCACCTTTTTGAGCTTGATAAATGTGTCCTTTATTTTACCACATAAGTCAGAACTACTATATATCATAACTCTGCTATTTTTTTCTTGTTCTCCTTCCTCCCACCTATCTCCTGCCACTTCCCCAGAAGCATAAAGCTTTCAACATCCTGCTGTCCATTAGCATAAATAAACTCATGCTTTTAAAGTAAGAATAGGTTTAATGCTATATTTGTTAAAGACTGCATTACCATAAGAGGATAAAAATATTCTTGAGTAACAGGTAGATCATATGCTTTAGAGACAATAACATACTTCTATTGTGGTTCCCTGAAAGTCGATTATTTTAGCCATAGATTCAGGCTTTAGATCTTGGCACAAGTTACATTTCCACTTCAGAAACCGTTAAACCATGCAGTTTCTCAGGACTTGTATCTTCAGGTTTTCATTTATTTTTTGTCTGCTGTCAATATACTATAGGCAGATCTAAGAAATGAAAAATATAAAGTATAAAATATAAAGTTTAATATTGGCTATAGGAACCACAGGATAATGTTGTTATAACTTTTCTCCTCATTTTAACATATATGTTGTTAATTTAAATTTTATGTAACATTTATACAATAGATAAGAAAATATTGGGCTAAAAAAGAACAGAAGTGGCAAGAAGTGGAAATGAGAGATCTTCAGCGTCTAGAAGAACTGAAGAAATTAATGGCTGAACAGTCAGTAAAAGACAGAGAAAGGTAAAAAAAAATCTTAAATTGCATAGTAATGGAGATGGTTTGGGTAAACAGTATCAGAGGGAGCATTTTTTTATACTTAATGTGTCCTTCCAATGTTTGTATCCCACAAATAGATAAAATGATACTTGTAATGTATTTCAGTCTCTCATATTCATACACAAATCTCTGGTTTGCCATTTTGTTCCTTGGATAGCTTCCTAGTTAAAACCCTTACAGAGGATTTTATAGTATTTGATTGCCCATTGTGTGCATGAAAGGATACTGGGTGCTACTATGACTTAATATGTTGACCTAGAAGGAGGAAACCATTATTCAGGTAAGAAGGGAGACCCATTTAATATAATTGAGGCTGAGAAGGACAATACACAATTATACTGTGTATGTGATTCATTCTAGTATACTTAGAATGCACTCTGTAGGAAAACATGGAGGGTTTCTTGGAATGGTGTCTTTTTAGAGCTGAAAAGGGCATTTGAGACCAACTAACCCAGTGTCCTCATTTTATGAATGAGAAATTAAACTGAGAAATTAACTGAGAAATTAAAATTATTTTTCCAAGTTTACTGTATCAATCAGGGTCAGTGAAGAGACAAAGATAACATAATAATTTGAATAGGGAAAGTTTAAGATAAAGAATTATTAATTCTAACAGAAAACCTCTGTTATGTAAAGAGATAAAGAGAGCTTTGAAGACAACTCCAGGGCTGAAGGAAGGTTCCCATAGAAGAAACAAATATGGAAGTGCCTCACCAACCCCCCCCTCCCGACCCTCCATGGTTGAGATTCAGATCTCATTGTAGAAGGCATGGTTGTGGCCCACTGAATGGTGGAGAAATTATTATATGGGCTCAACCAGGTCTTGTTCAGAGTCACTGGGAAAGCAAGAAACACCCTGCCTGGGTGTAGGAAGCCAAAGCTGGAAGTCAACCATTGGGATGTTTGCAAAACTCAGTGGGGATCTGACCATGGGAGTGCCTCTTAAGTTTGTTGGGAAACTGACCATTGGGCACCAGTGGAACTCCATGGGCACAGGTGCCACTGTGTGTTCCCCACACATGCAGCCGGCAGCCATGTGGTAGGAGCAAGAAGGGGTAAACACTGGAATCAGGAAAGAAAGCCCCTTCCTCCTTCAGTATCTTTCCAGAACCCCTTTCTGACATAGCTTAACATTGTGCCAGCTGCAAGGGAGAAATAGTTACAGGGTCTATCTTGTTTTCATAGAGTAGGCAATGAAGGGTGAATTTGGAGTTAAGAGACAATAAATTGGTACCCCACATAGTTATCTAGTTTACCTAGCTTCTGAGTAGATTTTCACAGGAGACAAATTAAGAATAGCTCTTTTATTTCATAATGGAAGTCACAATAGTTTTTTCTTTACTGTTAGTCAATGTAAAAAACTTGCCTGGAACTCTGTACTTTCTGCTCAGTTTTGCTGTGAATCTAAAATTGCTCTAAAAACAAAATCTATTAAAAAATTATTCCTTAGATTTATACATAATCTTGGGGGACATAGCCATTTTATTTATTTATTTATTTTTAGAGAGACAGAGACAGCGTGAGGGGAGGGGCAGACAGAGAGGGAGACAGAAAATCCCAAGCAGGCTCCGCACTGCCAGCACAGAGACCAATGCAGGGTACGAACTCACAAACCATGAGATCATGACCTGAGCTGAAACCACGAGTTGTATGCTTAACCGACTGAGCCACCCAGGTGCCCTGGACTTAGCCATTTTATACAGCTAGGTTCACTTGTATCTAGGAAGCTTCCCCTGTGACCCATGGGGCAGTTATCTCAAACTCCAGTCACCAAGCTTGCAGCCTAATGTGGAGTTCCACATACATGCCAGGCTATTCCTAAAGATTTTCTGGATGAAATTCGCATCATTTTCTAGGTGTCTCAGGATTTTAGAGTTCAAGGCTAAGAGGTGACAGTCAATGAGAAACCAGCCAAACAAACACAAAGTGCTTACCAGCAGATAGGCCATGCCATGGGTCAGAGGCAAAAATCCCACCAACAGCTAAATACTAAAGAGCAAGGCAATGGTGGAGGTCAAAGTCTGGGTGGATAGTCTGAAGCTATGCTGGGGAAACAAGAGAGCCACAGGAATTAAAGGGGGTGGGAAGAACAGAACAGATGTGAGGTCCCAGCATCTAGCAGACAGGCTTCTAATAGAATCTCCCCTCGCAGCCAGGGAGTTTCTTTGATTACAGAGCCATTTCGGTCTTTTCCTTCCTGTTCCAATAATTATCAAGATTAGCTGACTCAGAAATCCAGTTGAAAAGAAGAAAAGGAAAATCAGATTAATCTGCATTACATAACAGGAAAAAATAGGCATATTACAACATAACGAAAAGAGTACTAAGGACTAGGAACCAGGGGACCAGGTTTTTAGTCTTCAATCTTCTTGGAATAGTGTCTGATCTGGCCAAAGCCATTCAGCCTCTATAGGGCTCTGCTTTGTACTTTGTAAAATTGAACTGTATAACCTCTGAGGGCTAAGTAAGCTATCAACGTTTAAGGGCCTATGATCTGTATGTTCTACTCATGCGAAATGTAGATTCAGAAAGTTATGAATCTAGTTCTTTCGTGCCATTGGGAAATCAGTGAGGAAGGCCATTAAAATATCAGGATCATATATCAAGAAATAGTTCCCAGAAAATTTTGGATGATGTTGTAGATTAAAGCATAGTCCTGATTCTGTGATGTAGGGAGATGGAACTCAACGTGTAAAAACTGCTGGTAGCTTTTGCTCCTGGCAAGAACCAGAAGTTGTGTTCCTTTATAACCATCCTGACACTAAGAAATTTGGTTGGTTTGTTTTTCTCTGCTACTGAAATACAATTCACAAACCTCATGTTTAATATTTTAACTGGAGGCTCGTTTTTTTTCATATCAGAATAAGAGCTTAAAACTGTTTCCAGATCTGTTAAAAACATGCACACATGGCCTTGAGGGTTTAAAAATGTCCATTGTTTATTTTCTTTTTCTAGTTTTTAATTCTAAGGTTAAGTTTCTTGAAAACAATATTCATAAATTAGCAGATATATTATGTTGAACCATAAGAAAATTCCATTTTTGCAGGTCAGAAATGGTTAAGTATTGGCAGTTTCATGTGGTTCAACATAAAAAGATAAAGTAATTCATTTTACTTATTAATTATGTTTTCCTTCTCAGTTCTACTCTGCGTTTTGCCCTTATTATTTTATTGTTTTTGTTTTTGCCAAAGTTTCCACTAACCCTAAGGCCTATTTTCTTTCTGAACATGCCAGAGAGGTTAAGAAGGAAGGTTCTTTAATTAAGTTGTCAACATTGGAATCCTGGCTCTATCCTTTATAGCTATGTGACTTTGGGGTAAATTATTTAACTTGCCTATGCTTAAATTTCTTCATCTGTAAAATGAAGACATATATAATGTCTACTTCATAGGAGTGTTGTAAGGATTAAATGAAGTATTGAATGCAACACTCATCAAATATAAGTGATTACTATCAATTGAATTTTTTAAGTTTATTTATTTGTTTTGAGGGAGAGAGTGTGTATGGATGTACTGGCACACTGTCAGCACAGAACCTGACATGGGGCTTGGTCTCATGAACCCGTGAGATCGTGACCTGAGACTAAATCAAGAGTCGGGTGCTTAAATAACTGAGCCACCAGGGCACCCCAACCAATTGAATTTTTAAAACACAAGACACCTTCTAACAATTTTTTTCTCAAAGTGTTTAAGCATTTTAAATATTTTAGATAAAACATGTAATAATGAGGACATTTTTATTAAAAATAAAACAAGGTTAAAGCAAAAGTGCCCCTTGATCACTACCCTCATACAGTGTCTTCTCTAGAAGCCCTTTCTGTTTTCCATTGTTTAATACTTATGCATACATACTATGTACCTACATAAAAAATAAGTTGAAGAACAACAACAGAAATCCAATACATTTTATGATATAATACTGTTGTATTAGCTCAGACCTCCATAATAAAATACCAGACTGGTGGCTTAAACAACAGAAATTTTTTTTCTCCATAGTTTTGGAAACTATAAGTCTAAGATCAAGGTGCCAGCATGGTGAGTTTCTGGGAGAACTTTCTTTGTGGCTTATGGACAACTGATTTTAGACTTTGTGCCCATAGGTGGGGAGAGAGACAGTAGCTCTCTGTCTCTTTTTATAAGGTCACTAACCCCATCATGAGGGCCCACCCTCATGACCTCATCTAAACCAAATGATTTCCCAAAGGCCTCTTCTCCAAATACTATCACATAGGAGGGTGGGACTTCAACATATGAATTTTAGAGAGACAAGTTCCGTTTATAGCAGCCATTTGTGTTTTTAAAAAAACAAACAAAAGCATTTATGTATCCACAAATTACTTATTTACTATTAAGTACTGTTTACTGTTGCTGCTAGTATATAAGGTTTTTGTTCCAATTAGAAGAGGTTCTACCTTCTGGTGGCAAAGTATGTAGATCCCCTATCCAGAAGTAGACAAATTAGGAAAAAAAACCCTTTCTGAACCATGGCACTCAGCTTGACAAGCAGCAGCAAAGCTGGATGTCATTCCCTATTTATACTCCTGGTCTGGCATTGCTTTTGCAAAGCACAAACTTCAAAACGACACACGGCATTCCTGCAAATAGACCTACCTAATTCTTTTAAAATAGTATATATCATCCAGATTTCTTCTAAAGTTTAGCCATCTGGAATTTATTTCCAAGAATGATACGAGCTAAGTGTTTGACTTTCATTTTTTGCTCTAAATTGATAGCTCTCTCAACACCAATTATTTAATGATTCATCCTAACCCACTGAGTTGAAATGCCACCTTTATTATATATTATACTTCTAATTATACTTTCATATCCATATGGACTCTTATTAGATTAAATAAAAACTGATCTATATTTATATTTCTACATCAATACCATGCTATTTTTTTTTTTAATTTGTTTTCAACATTTATTTATTTTTTGGGACAGAGAGAGACAGAGCATGAACGG